GACTACCGTGTAGGGGCCTTTTTAGGGTGCAACATGTCATGTCAGTTATGGCAATATTTTAACCGATAACTGGATGGTTTAATTTAATAACTCTTATTTGGTTTGACCGATTTTCATAACAGAAATAGTTTTGGAATGCTCAGACCATGATTTAAAATTGTGGACAATAATATTACATATATGCTCATCGCAAAAATATTTTGGTAAGGTCAAAGGTCAGTTTTAATAGAAAGGGCATTTGATGAGAAAATGTGAGTTGAACTTTACAAATTAAAGGTAATTTTTCCAAAATTATGTTTTTCTAATTCAGCTATATCATTTGAAGATCATATATACCTTTCGTTTGCAGTGTATGAATGAAAAAAACATTACAACGAAACAAAAGTTTGTACTTTGTATTGAGATCAGCAAAATATTATATAATGTCTGTTCAACAGTAACAGCTCCATGCTTTACATAGTCAACGATACCAAATATGTCGAAGATACTTTTGGACTATCTCTAAAATCACACAACATAACAGAAAGCTCTTAAATGTAAAATTCTATTATTCCAGATGTCTTTCTTTGCTCATCAAAGAATGATGAGTCAGTCATGTCATCATAACAAAAGCAACATTTCCTTCATATCAATTCGTGTCTATTGTTCCTCATACTCATAGTGTATTCCTAGTTGACATGTTAGCCAATGTCAACAATGTTAAGATCACGGAAACATGTTTCAAGTCCACATCCACATGCCGAAGTACACAACAGGTTCAACCTCTTTGACACCTTCCTGTACATTGACTTTTACATGCACAGTTATGAAGTTGAAGAAGGTCCACGGAAACCATTTAGTCTTAACTTATTTGCAACTTTATCAATTTTACAAATTTAAGTTAATTTTACCAAAATTATGTTTTTATAATTCAGCTATATCATTTGAAGATCATACATATCTTTGGTTGGCACTGCATGCAGGAAACACAACAATTCAACTGATGTCAGAAGGAGATATGTTTTGATAAGTGTCAATATTGTTTATATATGTGTCACTTCACGCTCCAGCTGCAATGACATGCTGTGAAACCCTTAAAGACCAATACCCACCAAACACAATGATGCAATTGTTTTCAATGTCTATTGATGTATGTCAGATAAGCATCATAAACATCATTAAATGTTCTGCTTTGGGGCCATATCACTTTTCTCAGCAAGTATCCACCATCAACTATGTACACAGCATCTGGAGGAACTTCCTCATTATGTGGAAGGCTTTGTTTGCCTGACAAAGAATCAATGACAGAGTACATGACAGATTTTTTCTGTTTTTCTCATTGAGTACTCATCTAGAAGTAATAGAGGACATGGAGAATATTCATATTTCAAACAGGATTAGGATTTCAGGGCGAATGAACTGGCGTATCAAAGAAACTTGCTCAAAATATTGACACCACAACTTGGCAGTTCTGCTTTGAGACGATTCAAATTCCATTTCTGCAGTCAGTTTTTCGACAAGGTTTGTGACATTGGCAATTGCTGGAAGTTCATCAGGGATCACATAGTTGGTTTGTACATCCTTATGCAAAGTTTTCAGACAAGTTTTAATTGTTTCATCCAGGCTGACATCATCAACTGAAGCTAGAGTACGTTTGTTCTGGTGGTAAGCTACAATATCAACAGCTTTCTCATATCGAGGTTGGTCAAATGTCACAAAACATGTTTTCTGTTCATATTTCCTGCATTTGTCAAGCGAATATGGCAGCACAGAATATATTGCGCCTGGATTCGATGCCTGCAAGTTGACAAATGGCAATGGGATCACTTTGGATACTTCATGATTGTACGCTCCATGTATCCACTCCAGCAGGGAGCGTTCTCCAATTTCAACCATACTCCACTCATCCAAAGCGTATTCAAAAGAATATGCACAGAGCTAGAAGAGGTCAGCTTTTTGACATTGGAAATGTCATCAACAGTCAAACCAAGCAAACCTTTCTTGCTCTGAAATGAACAAGTCAAAATATCGATTGCCTTGGACCTGACATTGTCTGATGAAACAGCTTTCTTATGCTTGATAACATCAGATAGCAATTGTGGTCTCAGGGTTTTTCCACTACATTCAATCTCACCATCAACATGAAATTCTCTCAGTTTGCTCACGGGATCCTCTGTTGAGTACTGATATTCATCATTTTGTTCCAGAAATTCAAACAAATCATCAAACGTTCTGCTAAGTATTTCATCTGCAGGTCCACCCATCCCTCAGATAGAACGCGGTCTGTTAAAGAATTTCTTATAACATGTATGGTGATATCTACGGCAGCCACTAAATCTATGGCGCTTGATATCCGTTCAATAATAGCTCGACCCTACACATCACCACGATATTCAGCCATGTCAAGAATGGAATCTGTGGAACTAATCATTCGAACTTCAAACATACCCCATTTGTGTTTAGGTTTTTTAGTCTCTGAAACTATATCACAAATTTCTCCACAGAACAAGCAATTCATTTTGAAATTGAAAGTTGACAGTGATGATCTTAAGGACACCGTCTTTCGAGGTGAGTGATTCACAGCTGCTAAAATAGAAGATTCACGTGTGTAATCTATGCGGCAGTTTACATGAACTTAAACTGAAGATATTCCAGATACATTTTCAGCAATTGCATCTTTGCGCCTTATACTACTTTGAAGTAAGGTAGTTAGACCTCTTGTGACGGTGACAATATCATCAGGAAATAATGTTTGCTGCATATAATACAACACTCTGTTGGATCCATCGTGAATTAAAACTTGTCCGTGGAACTAGCAGGTTGAAATGTGGATATGCTTCACTCTGTCATTGCTAGAGACCCTCTCAAAACTATCTTGAAGAGAAGAGATGGAAGCAAGCATAGAAATGTTGTGAGAAGCGCATGCAGTCGAGTTCTCACAAATCAAATTGGTCCATCAAACTAGAAACTTTATAAAACTGTTACTGCATTTGCTTCAGTGAATGGTAATACCAGAGGCCTCAAATCACTTGGAAGAGAAGGTTTGTGACAAGATATGCATTCCTTACCAACCATGTAAGCTACACAGAATGGAAGCTGTTCAACTTAATTGCTAACTGTTCGTGTTAAACTATTCGCATGACAAAAAGTCAAACATTTGATCAATGCTATGCATTTTAGGACCCCTTAAGTGGAAGATGATAGTTGATGAGCAATTATGGGAGAAAAGAGCAAGTGGTAGTTTACCGCCTCAGGGAATTGTTTCAGCCATTCGTGGTTTTGTGAAATAATTGTTGGTTATGTATCAGTGCTTTTATAATTGTTGCGATATTTCAATGGAAATGAAATTATATTCATAAGTATAGTTATTATATTAAAACTGTCAGATTATGTTCAATTTGCCATGAAAGTATTAAAATGTTTACTTATCAGTAACTTTGATGAGTATTATTGTGATAAGACTCATGCACACTGGTTATTACAAAGCGAGGGGATAGGGGTCGAGGACAACACAGTTTTCTGGCTGGTATGCAAATCAATGAAATTTCGCCTTTTGCCAGTTTCAATTTAAATGTTTATATGAAATATGTCTTCCAACTATTTGGTGCCATTGGATAGATAAATCATAGGGCAATTTATTCATACCTGCCATTGTATAAGACCAATTAAACTTCACATCAAAATCAAAAAGTTTGAGGCCAAAATTCAGACCCAGGATCAATTTTTCCTAGAAATCCTTTTTAGAACAAAACGGGAAGTGCACGTGAGGCAAATAATTATTTTCTGCTTTTTAAAGTATTTTTATATACGTGCACTATAATCCATTATATCTGTCAAATTCGATGAGATTATATTCATAAAAAAGATTTTATGAGCATTTCTGTTTTTAAGACAGGCTTTTCTTAGAAGAAACATTATCGTAGGGTATGCACTGTGGATTTAGCTCAAGTCGGACTTTAGTATGTTATGCAGGAAGGGCCATAGAATATATATGCCAAGTTTCTTTTTTTCATCATTTTTTCCGACCTTGGCCCAAAAAAATGGCTAATTTGACTGGCTATAGGGCTATAAGCTGTTCTGTTTGGTTTTGTAAACCAGGAATACTATGTAACCTATGCTATATTTGGGATTACACTTTCTTTGTAAAGTACAAATTCTAGTTCTTTTTAGATTGATTCCCATCCGGGATTCGAACCCGCGCCCTCAGAGTCAGGCACCTAATCGCCAGCACACAAAGTCAGCCGCCTAACCCGCTCAGCCACCGCTACTTAGGAATACTACTTGATAACAATAAATTATCTCCAGCAAAAGTATGTTCCTTTAAAATAATCTATGTCTAATGTCTCAGCACGGAATCATCATCGTTTCTAAATCGGGAAATAAAGCGTAAAACTTTCCACAGTTAATACCTTGATATGTTTAAAAGAGTGACGGAAGTATTAACACCGTATCCAATTTTGAATGTCACGCTTCTATCTTGAAGAGGTGGGATGCCCTTGTGCATGTAAGTACCAGTGTTATCTAAAGTGCGTTGTTGGCGCATCAGATCTCTTACAGACACGTCGGTTAATCTTGACAATGCCGTACGATGGTTTTAATGGCCGAGTGTTCATAGTAACTTTAATGTTTTGGTTTGGTTCGGTTGTTGTTTAACGCCGCACTCAGCAATATTCCAGCTATATGTCTGTAAATAATCGAGTCTTGATGAGCATATCTAGCGATCAATAGCATGAGCATCGATCTACGCAAGTGGGATACGATGACATGTGTCAACCACGTTAGCGAGCCTGACCACCTGATCTTGTTAGTCGCCTCTTACGACAAGCATGGGTTGCTGAGGACCATTTTCAAGCCTGATCTTCACTGGTAAACTTTAATGTACCATCTTTATATCGAGTACCATATGTAAATATTTCGAAGATCTAGGTGTGACTATGGCCTTCACTCTTCCTGATGCTTGTATCGCGTAATGATGGCGACACCGTTCAGATAACCCAGCTTCATAACGGGATCATTCTTACCGTTAAAGAGTCCATCCATAGCATATTCTGGACAATCACCACCTCCACTGACACTGATCCCCTCAAGATAGCTCAGAGCATTATTCCCATCATTGGTCCTGTAAGTCGTGCTTTTGGACACTGTTATATATAAACAAGTGGATGTATGTATATCATACTTCTGGATACTATCACATATACACCTGTGTATGTATATCATACTTCTTGACACTATCACATGTACACATGTGTATGTATATCATACTTCTGGACACTTTCACATATACACATGTGTATGTATATCATACTTCTTGATACTTTCACATGTACACATTTGTATGTATATCATACTTCTGGACACTTTCACATATACACCTGTGTATGTATATCATACTTCGGGACACTTTCACATATACACATGTGTATGTATATCATACTTCTTGATACTTTCACATGTACACATTTGTATGTATATCATACTTATGGACACATATACACATGTGTATGTATATCATACTTCGGGACACTTTCACATATACACATGTGTATGTATATCATACTTCTTGATACTTTCACATGTACACATTTGTATGTATATCATACTTCGGGACACTTTCACATACACACATGTGTATGTATATCATACTTCTTGATACTTTCACATGTACACATTTGTATGTATATCACACTCCTGGACACTTTCACATATACACCTGTGTATGTATATCATACTTCTGGACACTTTTATATATGCTCGAGTTTGAGGCAATTTCGATCTTAGGCAATGATGAAACCATGATTGTGGAACGCTTCATACTTACACGGGTCATTGAAGAGGGAGAAAATGAAGTTCGCTGGCTCCTCCAAAGTCCCAATCTTACTTGACATGATATCCCGAATTACAGATTTAATTCCTTCGAGGTCGTCTCCCATGGAACCAGAATAGTCTATGATGAATGCAAGCGAGGGTCCAGATGTCAGTTGAAGTAAATCGTTGAATTTGTTGGTCCCGATGATACCCCTGATTCCGTATTCTGGTCAGAAACAAAGTGTCAAAGAAATAATGGTCAATAGCAACTGAAATATCTGTACATTGTTGAACATCGTGCAACAAGAGAGTACAAAAAACTGCAACGGATGCATAGGTTCATGAACGATTACCTTCGTCATCAAAGAAGTACGAGGTGTGTTCAATGGCTGCCTGTGCTGCCACCAGGTGGAGATGACTGTGGGGGGACAGGGACACGAGGAAGGAGTCTTTGTTGATTCCCCCCAGGGCTGCCACTGATGAACTGCTCTCGTCCCACGGGCCACCATGACTGCATTTGCCCGTTGTGGAGACACTAGGGTCTTCTGAAAATACAGTTGCAATTGTACTTTGATGGGAGTGGAAGAAATGTTATAACATTTGAATATGGGTTAAATGTAATGCAACGATGCCTGTCAGAAATATCTACATAGATCAAGGAAATAAACATGAAGCATGTTTTGATTCATACACGTGTCCCAATAGCCATATCACCACAACAAATAGGGAGATGGTCAAATACATGTCTTAGAAAATGAAAATGTAATACTGTATGGTTTGATAACATCTTGCCCGCTTCTGTAGCCGCTTGTGAGAATCTTGTCATCCAAAATCATATTGCCATCACACGTTGCGTTCACAGCTTCACTGTAAGAAAAGTAAAATGTGTAAGTGATGTCTTTTTAGAGTTAGTGAGTGAGTTTAGTTTTACGCCGCTTTTAGCAATATTCCAGCAATATCACGGCGGGGTACAGCAGAAATGAGCTTCACACATTGAACCCATGTGGAGAATCGAACCCGGAACTTCGGCGTGACGATTGAACGCTTTAACTACTAGGCTACCCAACCGGCCCTCTTTTCTGAGAACGACAAAATATGACCATCGCCTTTAACGTCTTGTGGTGAAGTAGTATGTCCTTAACGTTATGTAGCAGTGAAGTTCACTGTAAAACAGTAAAAGTAAACTCATTCACTCACTAGACCAGCCGGAATAATCCAGCTTTTTCTGGAACCTTTCTCATATATATCAAGGGGCTTGCCCCTTTTCTCCCAATTAATATGAGGTCCAGTAGTGTGTGAAGATTGTTATTTCACCCGGCAGCCTGTTGCCGAAGCCTAATCATTCCTGGCTAAAAAATATGTTCACCGATTCTATTGCCACAGCTGTTTCATATTGTATTGTATCACAGGCAAATTGTAGCGCAAATAGGGTTGCGCATCAAACAGAAAATGACCAGTCTTCCCATATGCGAGCGAAGCGAGCAAAGGTTGGCAACCTTCTTCCCTCGCTTCGGTTCGAAAAATATTTTTAATGTCAAAATAAAATACCGCCATCATCAAAGGTAGACACCCATTTCCTCACAGAGTTGTGCTCTCAGATTTCCAACCTCATATTTAATAATTACTCACGTACAATATATTTAACTCAACATTTTAAGCGCCATTCGTGGCATGTCAAATCGTTCTTCGCCTTCATTACCGCTGCCAGGAACAAGAATGAGCAGAAATTAAACACCAATATCATTTTGTATAATTTTACCGTTAAACTGTTATTTTTCTTAACTGCCGTCGTAATTGTTAGAATTTATTCTCCAGAAACATTTCTGGCGTAACGGGTAAATGAAAGCATATTTAAATTTGACTCCCCTGTTCCTTCTCTCCGTTGAACCGGAAGCTGGCAGGGGTAATGGAGGCGAAGAACGATTTGACATGCCACGAATGGCGCTTAAAATGTTGAATTAAATATATTGTACGTGAGTTATTATTAAATATGAGGTTGGAAATCTGAGAGCACAACTCTGTGAGGAAATGGGTGTCTACCTTTGATGATGGCGGTATTTTATTTTGACATTAAAAATATTTTTCGAACCGAAGCGAGGGAAGCAGGTTGCCAACCTTTGCTCGCTTCGCTCGCATATGGGAAGACTGGTCATTTTCTGTTTGATGCGCAACCCTATTTGCGCTACAATTTGCCTGTGATTGTACTGCCATTAAATTTTGTACTACAAGACCGATCTCCATTGCTACTACAGATTCCGGTGAACTTATTGTTTCAACTTGGAAACCGACACGTTATGGAAAAATACCCCGAATGATTATTTTGCTCTGTTAGTGATAAGATAACTAATTATTGATACATGTGCTTCACATTTTACCTAGAAGATATGCAAGTATCCATTTCAGGGAGTGCTTCACCAAGAAGTGTCTTGTTTCGTATCCCTTTAAAAACAATAAAAAATATATCATACATAGAAAGGCATTCACTGATCGTAATAGCATGTACGATTATGTTATTTATACACGTTGATACAAACAGTCAACCATGTGATACGTAGGATGAACAAAGGACTGGAAGCCCTGGTTATATTTTGAGTTACATCATTCTTTAAATAATATGTAAATCATTACAATAGCCAACCCAGCACAATAACCTGGACAAGCACATCGCCACAGCACAATAACCCGGAGAAGCACATCAGCACGGCACAATAGTGAGTGAGTTTCAGTACTTCAGCCATGTTGTGAGTCGATCAAGTTATACAATACTACGAAAGTATTAAACAATAGATTTCAAACTAAAAGCTAACTGGTAAAGTAACTAAATGATTCGAGACAGAAATTTAAAACTAGTATGAAAATCTATACAACTTTAACTATAGATGACAAGACAATATAAAAACAGACTACAGGTCGCAACTGAGGGTAGATCACCAGACTAAAGTACTGTCGGAAATGCTAGAAAAAAGCTTTTTAGCCTTAATATCTTTATAAAGGTGATAAATGTACTATGTTGTCAATATATCAACTCGTCTATTGTCTACCTAATATTTATTGCAACTGATTTAACATTCCCATGCATTTAAAGGGCAGTTTACAGGAGAGAATTTGGTACCAAAACAGCAACTTAAGATTTTTTCAAAGTTCAACAACAGAAATCTAAAATAGTCTTTACATTTATGCTAATGATACAGGTGGTGTAAAAATATGAATTAACGTGTTTTTAAACGAATAAATGTTGAATGTTTGTGTAACTTTACTTAATTATCGTTTCTTTATTGAAGAAATATAATATAAATGTTAAGTCTTGATAAATAAGTTTCCCGTTATGCATGCACATCTTTATCACAGCGTCCACTATGGCCAACGATTTGTAGTCGATTGTTGCAAAGGTTTATAGTTTTTTTCTGCTTAAAAAAAAGACAGAGGTAAACCTTTCATTAGTTTAGAAAGGGTTTATTACAGAACTTGTAGAGCTGTTGGCATGTCTTACCAACAAGTTTACAATATTGTAAACAAATCAGACAAGACAGGGACCGTCTCAAATGCAAAACCGGGACGTAAAACCTTCCTTGACAACTTTGACAAGGGAGTGCTTAGACGGGCGGTCTACAAACTTTATGAGAAGAAAAAATACATATATTCTAAAGAAGCTGCAACAGTGACTTCGTTAAATCTTTGGCCAATGTTCACAACTAGATTAAACTGACCGAATTACATCCATATTTTTGCAATGAAATATACTGTTGACATGCAAAACATTTATTAAAACGTTGCACATTTCTACAATCAATCGATAAGATAACACAAGTGATAGGATTCTTTCCAATGTACAGTAATTCGTATGTTTATTTCAAAACAAACACACATACACAAATGATCCCTTACATAACCGATACGTATGCTATACGTACACATATTCAACATTTTGCAGAAAACACCTATTGAGATGACCCCTCGTCCGAGCGTGTGCTCAGGTGTCAATTTCACCTGTCGATACCGTGGATGCTGATGACGTAACACAGGCAGTTAATGTTTGTATCAAATAACGTCCCACTACCCCTTATTTTTCTAAGTTTTTTGGTATTTTCATCAGTAAAAACACATTTTAGAGCATGTCTCAAAATTTATTCCCTCGGTCTACATTAGGTAGATGTTTCTTGAAGTGATATTTGTTATTTAAAGGTCACATGCAACCAAAAAATCAAACATAATTGAAACACAATTATCACTTATTCATGACATATAATATACATTGCTGGTTAAGAAAAAATATATAAACAAAATTATAAGCGTACAATCGCAAGTCGAAAGTGCAAAATTGTGTACTTCGGTTTACTTCCCAAGAAACGAAGCAGTCGGGATACCGAACCCAGTCAGAGCGGGTGGGTGTGCACTCAAGTGTAACGGCTGGTTCATTTGCAGATGCCTTCACGGCTAATTGTGCGTATATATAGAGAGAGATGTTGGGTTTTGTAAATACATGCTCATTTTTTTGTGTGTAACATTTTGCAATCAACAGACATCATAACATGTCATGTGTTCAAGTATCACACCTGCCTGTCTGTGTAATTACATAATGTGACAGAGACCGAACTCGGGCCATAAATCAATGCAGTTTGTTTATGGTGTATAGCCTGATTGGTGTTAAGTTTAAATTGCATGTGGTCAGTGATAGCAGCTGTGTATTAAATATTGTCATTAGCAGACAGGCAGGCAGACACACAGGTGTCAATAAAACAAGACATTGAGTTTTGTCTGTGACAACGACATATCTATATCACAGTTAGAAATTCTGTCAACGCTAAATAATGACATTGCTTTCAAGTATCGAACTGAGAAAGTGTCTCGGTAAGAAGAACGTGTGGTGAAATAGACAAATGAAATTATATATACAGTTTATTTACTGTCATAACATATAAAAAGCTCGCGCCTGTGAGATATCAACAAAACATTAGAAAAATAGCTCACACCAAAGCCTTCACCGAGTATTCACCCGACAACCCGCTTCCAAGCTGCGCGAACCTATTTACTTGCGCACGTACTATGAGCGCAGCCCAGCTGTTGAAACCCGTTTTCCCCAGAAAAGTCGGGGGAAAATTAGTGAAACGTTTGAACTCCGATTTCGCGCGTTTTTTTTCATCGCGTTATTTTTCAACTTTATAAGTTGAATTTGCATTTTTGACGATTTGTTTCGGTATGTCCATACCGAAAGGTATCAGAATCTGCAAAGTTGTGTTTTACGTTGCATGTGATTAAGTAACTGTAATATCTCTGAATTTTAAATATAAGTCAAAAAGCATTTTTCTAGCAATTCCGACAGTACTTTAGGGACCAAGGGGACATACAATGCCTTTGCTACCTGCAAGGACCCTAGCTGGATTTACACCATCCCTTCATGATGTTAGCAATTGTAGGCAAATCTAGCCACGCATTAAAATAACATAAGTACTACAATTAAAGATAGTGGCAGATCTAAAGTTAATTTGAATGTTTCAGGACTTCCGTACCCTCTCACGAGGACAATACTTTTACGATGCACATGACAATCACCTGGGCAGGCACATAAGCACATCACAATAAACTGGACAAGTACATTTGTACATCAGCACAACACAATCACCTTGACCCGCGAACAGGGGCATTTTGCTGACAGACCGGGACACAATATCAGGCCATTTACACGAACGGAATTCACGAGATTAGTTTCATTATCTGATTCTGTACTCCAGTTCTGTTCCGTTTTAGACGACATCCCCCGTCGTGCTCTGATACCCAACCTTGTCGCACATAACTGCACAACACATCTAACGCACATTGTCATCATATTGAATAGCCACGTTACCCACATCGTGACTCAACTGAAATGTAAGATAGGACTTACCGAGAGAGTGGTACATAACACCTCCACTAAGTTCAATCCAGTTGGTGTTGCTGTAGAACATTTGCATGATGTGCAGATACTGTCCAATCAAGGTTCTCGCCAGGTCAAAATTTGTACTGCTTTGTGACAAAACCTCTATGGCCCGTTCCCTAAGAGATATCATCTTCTTGTTGGCTGCAATGTATGAAAGTGTGCCATTTGCAATATTATTTAATAGCATTATTTGTTAAAAAACTCTTCTCGTTGGCTGCAATGTATGAAAGTGTACCAGTGTTAGATCCATTCTCCCCTTTTCTTCTTGTTCACAATGAACATATAACCATTTACACAAATGTATTTTCACCACGAGAAGTTAGAGGAAACTTATTGCGCATTTGTCATAACTGAAGTTGTGGAAATGATGATGAAAACTGTCAGTTTCAACATTCTGAATTCATGCCAGTTTATGTAAGAAATTGAAAAACTCACTACTAATTAGCTAAATTCACTCACGAAACCCGCTGGTACACATGTCATATTTTGTTGCCTGTGTGAACACATTTTACATTTTGCAGAAAACCAGAGTCCTAATCCCTTAAAACAACACCGTTTTCACAACATCAAACATCAAAGCCATTTTTCTTCGACCCAAACGTCGAACTTACGGGACTACCCCGGGTATTTATATAGCGCTATAGTCCATCCCATGTGCATGTTCAAAGAGCTTTGTTTTTATGTTTTTCCCCCTCGATCATTGGATGTCAATATCAACTGCACATCGTATTTTTCAATCTCAACTCCCTGGGGATCATACAACTCGTGCAGCCACTAGGCACACCAAGTTAATGTGGCCTTCTCATCCTTACAAGGTACCCATTCACAGCTAGGTGGACTGGACCACGTAGTCACATTACTTTGTCCAAGTTTCACTGCACGTTGCTGTACCCGCAACTAGGTGTTTGCACGTATTCATGTAGCCACCCACTGGCCACTAACGATACATCATTTACACATTGCATAGCATTGCCTCAATGTGGATGTCATGACATGCTATCATCCTTTATTTGCTGAAAATGAATGATCTCAAATGATCTGGCTTACCCTCCCTGATTGTCTCCCCGTTACAGTGCCACGCCGCCGTCCGGAACAGATCCAGATTCACCTGGTTATTGGCTTTGATGATGCTGTTAATGGCGTCCCGAAAACGGGATTCTGGAACGCCTTCTGTAACGACAAAAGTGTTATCTTGTAATGGATGGACATCTGTTTATAGCACATGCTGATCATGGCAAAGATCCAGGTTAAATACCCACATCCTCATCTTTTCCGTTATGGTCTCTGCTTCCTTCTACGACACTGCTCTATCTCCAGTATACATTTGGTATGGACACACTTATTCACAAGTGAGTGAGTGAGTGAGTTAATATTTAACGTCACATCGGCAATATTTCAGCCATATCGTGACGAGAACATTTGATATTGAAATGAAACATATGTATATTATAAAAACCTGCCAACGAAGGGCAGTAAAACAACTAGAATATCACATATACAGATAAAACTAGTAATAGAGTCTAAAACATTTTAACCACAGGGGACAACACAATATAAAAATGGGCTATAGATCACCAACAACTGGAAGTAGGTCACCATACTAGGGTCCATGGGGACTTACAGTACCTTTGCTACCTGCATGGACCCTAGTTGGATTTACACCATCCCTTCAGCCGCTGGTGATTGTAAGACAATTTAGCCGAAATCTAAATGAACAAAATACTACGTTTAAAAACTTGGTATGTGAAAAGTCTACTTTGAAAGTTTTGGGACTTACGTACCCTCTCAGGAGGACAATAATTTTACAGTACTTTAACCTCCTTTGAGGGTACAGCCACTAACAATCTAAGGTACTTATCTAAATTACCAATCTTTAAAATATATCTATTTATAAACCACATTAATCAGAATTCATCAAAGAAATCAATTTCTTTTAAAAAACCAATAATTAAATGATAATTAACATTTGTAAAAAGATCCTTCATTGTTTTTACATTGAAATATTTATCCCTTATGATGGAGTACTCAACACAGTCAAGCAAGACATGCTTGACCGTGATTCGTTCATCACAAGGGATACAAAACGGAGGATCCTCACCTTTTAATAGGTACTCATGGGTATATCTAGTGTGGCCAATACGACATCGTCGCATAATGACCTCTTCAAATCTGGACTGACAACCCAAGTAAGTGTAACCGATATAGGGTTTTATTGCATGTAATTTATTGATACCTACTTGGGTGTCCCACTTCTTTTGCATCAGATCACGAATATAAGATCTTATAGCAGCTTTGTAATCAGAGTATGGAATAAGAAGTGGTGTCACAGATTTGTTGAGTGCTGCCTTGGCAGCAAGATCAGCCATTGTGTTCCCAGAAATGCCAACGTGGCTGGGTAACCAACAAAAGACGATGTCGCATTGGCCAGTAGCAAGATCATTATATAATTCGATTATTTCAATAAAAAGTGGATGTTTGCAAGAGAGATTTTTAATTGCCTGAAGGCAAGAAAGAGAGTCAGAAAATATTATATATTGTTTATATTTACGGTGTTTATTAATATATTTAAGAGCTGTTAAGATGGCGTTTGCTTCTGCTGTGAAAATTGAACTGTCATTGGGTAGTCTGGAAGATATTGTTTTGGACCCAATGACAGTGGCACAAGCAACCGCGCCACCATCCTTGGATCCATCTGTATATAAGGATTTATAGGTATTATATTTGTTTCTTAATTGACTAAATTCTTGTTTATATTGTAAATCATTAGTTTCGGATTTTTTTAAATGTGGTTAATGTTAAGTCAACTTCTGGCCTCACCAATTGCCAAGGAGGAGAAGAAAGAAGACGAGAAGGAGATATATTCTCCAGCTCAATGCCAGCAGCAGAAAGGAATGGTTTAATTCTGTGCCCAAGAGGCGGAACAAGAGAAGGCTTTTTGTTATACAAATCTCATAAAGAGGATTGAAAACACAGTTAAATGCAGGATTGGACTCGTTAGAATATAGTTTTGTTAAATACTGTAAGGATAATTTTATACGCCGTTGTGGAAGAGAAGGCTCATCGGCCTCGACATAGAGACTGTCAATAGGAGAAGTTCGAAAGGACCCAAGACAAAGTCTCAGGCCTTGGTGGTGGACAGAATCTAAAAGTTGAAGGTTGCTTTTGCAGGCTCCACCATATACGATGGAGCCATAATCAAGTTTCGAGCGAACCAATGATCGATATAGATGTAGGAGAGTGGCTTGATCCCCTCCCCACTTAGAATTTGAAACGACTTTCAATAAATCAAGTGCCTTCATGCATTTAGTTTTAAGGGATTTAATATGCGGAAGAAACGTTAAATGAGAATCAAATATTAAACCCAAGAACTTGGCCTCCTTTACAACTTTGATGGGAGTGCCATTGAGAAACAGTTCTGGGTCTTTATGCGGTTTATATTTTCTACAAAAATGTATACAATTAGTTTTTGATTTAGAAAATTTAAAGCCGTTTTCAAGACACCATTTATTTATTTTATTTAAACACAGCTGCATTTGCCGTTCAATAGTATGCATATTCTTACCGCGACAAGAAATATTAAAATCATCCACAAATAGAGATCCATCAATTGAATCATTTAAAACCTTTGACAAACTGTTAATCTTGATACTAAATAAAGTGACCGACAAAATACTGCCTTGAGGGACACCCTGATCCTGATTATAATGGTCAGACAGGGTAGAACCCACTCGGACTTGAAATTGCCTGCCTCTTAAAAACTGTGATATAAAAAGAGGTAAACGACCCCTCAAACCAAAATCATGTAAATCCTTCAAAATGCCATGCTTCCGGTATCGTATGCTTTCTCGAGATCAAAGAATATCGATACAGCATGTTGTTTATTTACGATTGCATTTTTAACAAAGGATTCTAAACGTACCAAATGATCAATGGTACTACGATTTTCCTGAAACCACATTGAATATTTGTTATAAGGTTATTGGTTTCAAGATACCAAGTTAGTCTATTATTCACCATACGTTCCATGGTTTTACAGACACAGCTAGTGAGAGATATTGGTCTGTAATTAGACGGATCTGTATGATCCTTGCCAGGTTTTGGTATTGGGACTACAATGGCATTACGCCATGAAGGAGGAAATTCTCCAGACGTCCATATTTTGTCAAATATATCTAAAAGTGTCATCAGACATGGTTCAGGTAAGTGTTTCAGTAGCTGGTAATGGATATGATCATCACCCGCTGCAGTGTCATGAGCTTGCTCAAGAGCAGTATGTAGCTCATATAATGAAAACACTTCATTATAATCTTCACCGTTATTGGATTCGAAATTAAGTTTAGTCTTTTCCTGTTGTTTCTGGTATCTCTGAAACTCAGGGACATAATTTGCCGATGAAGAATTTTTGGCAAGAGTTTCGCCAATTTTATCTGCAATTTTAGACTTGTCAGTAATTAAATTATCACCATCTTTAAGATGATGAACAGCAGATTTGGAACCTTTGCCTTTAATTCTTTGAACCATGTTCCATACTCTGGACATTGGCGTACGTGAATTAATTTTGGAGACATAGTTCCTCCAAGATTGTCGTTTGTTTTGTTTGAAGGTACGACGTGCCTTCGCATTGAGTATTTTAAATTTATTTAAGTTATGGACAGTTGGGTGATGGCGGAAATAGTTCTCCGCCTTTTTCCTCGCTTTTCTGGCTTGCCTACAATCTGTATTAAACCATGGTTTCCGTACATGTGGAGTTGTAGAGGACTTTGGTATACATTCATCAGCTATTTCATTTAAAACGTCAGAATAAACCTCAATAGGATCAGTTATATCACTGAAATATTCGGGTCTTAGTTTAGATGTGCATAACGTTTGAAATAAGGACCAGTCTGCCTTGGAAAATTGCCATCTTGTATAAGATGTAGAATCAGATGGATAAATTGCTGATAGGATAGTTGGAAAGTGGTCACTTCCACAGAGGTCATTGTGGACTGACCAATCAAATTCATTGAGGAGGTTAGAGTCTGCAAGAGACAAATCTAGAGAAGAGTAGGTGCCGGTTGCAGGATGCAGGTAAGTGCTTGAATCGTCATTGTATATACACAAATCATTATTGGATATAAAATCTTCCAGTACTTTACCTTTTGGGCTAGTGTTTGTACCACCCCAGATCGGGTTATGGCCATTGAGATCACCCATTATAAGACAAGGTTTAGGAAGTTGGTCATAGAGAGCTTGAAGATCAGACTGCTGGAGTGTTGAAGAAGGGGGAATATACAGAGAGCATAGTGTAAAGGTAACATGAAGAGTAAGTCTCACTGCAACGGCTTGAGATTACTTGAGAGTGTTACAGGACTATGGATAACATCCTGCTTAACAAGTATCGAAGACCCTCCAGTGGCCCTGTCACCCGGAGGTGAAAAAGAATTATATGCAACGAACTGACGTAAATTAAAAAATATCTGTCTTCTTCAGATAAGTTTCCTGCAGACAGAAAGCTGATGGTGCAAAATCTTGGATTAATAGCTGTAACTCATTAAAATTGGACCTTAATCCTCTACAGTTCCACTGTACTATAGTTTTGGAATGGACTATCGTTTAGGAGGGTTGATTGGGGATCTACCCCGCACTGTCTTTGAGGGCGACATGCTATGTGCCCTGGGATGGGTGCATTCAGATACATCCATTTCCTCCAGTGATCCAAACTTGTTAAACAATTTTATTTTATTTTCTGACCCTTTAGGTGTTCGATTTGATTTGGACGTTTCAGTTCTGGTCTTGAATTTCGATTTGGCAGTTTGTTTTTCATTTCTATCAAACTGAGAAGGAGTGATGGTTGTAGGAGATACGATTTGTTCGGTAGAAACTATTGTATCTGTCTGAGTAGACTGTTCAGGGAGATAGACTTGGGAATATCTGTATTCACCCATGTCAGGTCAGTCTGACATGAACTTGACGCAGTCATTATTGGTGAAGGTGATCGTTTTGAGGACGTTTCAGGTGTTTGGGTGACTGAGGCGTACGTTTCCGTGTGTTCAGTAGATAGGACAATCTTTTGCTTCAGCAAAACTGATATTCTGGGAAAATTTGATTTTATTAACTTCCATTTGCCTTTTCCAAATTGGACAGTCTTTAGAAAAGGATGAATGACTTCCAGAACAGTTTGCACATTTTTG